ATTACATACTCCTGACCTCTGTACTCTGTACATTACATACTCCTGACCCCCTGTACTCTGTACATTACATACTCCTGACCTCTGTACTCTGTACATTACACACTCCTTACCCCTGTACTCTGTACTCTGTACATTACATACTCCTGACCCCTGTACTCTGTACATTACATACTCCTGACCCCTGTACTCTGTACATTACACACTCCTGACCCCTATACTCTGTACATTACATACTCCTGACCCCTATACTCTGTACATTACATACTCCTGACCCCTGTACTCTGTACATTACATACTAGCTGACCCCTGTACTCTGTACATTACATACAAGCTGACCCCTATACTCTGTACATTACATACTCCTGACCCCTATACTCTGTACATTACATACTCCTGACCCCTATACTCTGCACATTACATACTAGCTTACCCCTGTACTCTGTACATTACATACTCCTGACCCCTGCACTCTGCTTATTACACGATCCTTACCTTTGCACTATGCACATTACACACTCCTGACCCAAATACTCTGCACATTACATACTCCTGACCTCTGTACTATGAATATTACATACTCCGGACTCCTGTGCTCTGTACATTACATACCCCTGACCCCTATACTCTGTACATAACATACTCCTGACCCCTGTACTCTGTACATTACATACTCCTGACCACTATACTCTGCACATTACATGCTAGCTTACCCCTGTACTCTGTACATTACATACTCCTGACCCCTATACTCTGTACATTACATACTCTTGACCCCTGTACTCTGTACATTACATACTCCTGACCCCTGTACTCTGTACATTACATACTAGCTGACCTCTATACTCTATACATTACAGACTCCTGACCCCTATGCTCTGCACATTACATACTAGCTGACCCCTTTGCTCTCTACATTACATACTCCTGACCTCTGTACTCTGTACATTACATACTAGCTGACCTCTATACTCTGTACATTACATACTCCTGACCCCTATACTCTGTACATTACATATTAGCTGACTTCTGTACTCTGTACATTGCATACTCCTGACCCCTGCACTATGAATATTACATACTCCAGGCTCATGTGCTCTGTACATTACATATTAGCTGACTTCTGTACTCTGTACATTGCATACTCCTGACCCCTGCACTATGAATATTACATACTCCAGGCTCATGTGCTCTGTACATTACATACTCCTGACCCCTATACTCTGTACATTACATACTCCTGACCCCCTGTACTCTGTACATTACATACTCCTGACCCCTGCACTCTGTACATTACATACTCCTGACCCCTATACTTTGTACATTACATACTCCTGACCCCCTGTACTCTGTACATTACATACTCCTGACCTCTATACTCTGTACATTACATACTAGCTGACCTCTGTACATTACATACTAGCTGAGCTCTATACTCTGTACATTACATACTCCTGGCCTCTATATTCTGTACATTACATACTCCTGACCCCTGTACTCTGTACATTACATACCAACTGACCTCTGTACTCTGTACATTACATACTGCTGACCACTATACTGTGTGCATTACATACTCCTGACCCCTGTACTCTGTACATTACATACTGCTGACCACTATACTGTGTGCATTACATATTCCTGACCCCTGTACTCTGTACATTACACACTCCTGATCCCTATGCTCTGTACATTACACACTCTTGACCCCTATACTCTGTACATTACATACTCCTGACCCCTATGCTCTGTACATTACACACTCCTGACCCCTATACTCTGTACATTACATACTCCTGACCCCTGTATTCTGTACAATACAATATACTCCTGACCCCTGTACTCTGTACATTACATACTCCTGACCCCTATACTCTGTACATTACACACTCCTGACCCCTATACTCTGTACATTACATACTCCTGACCCCTGTACTCTGTACATTACATACTCTTGGCCTCTATACTCTGTACATTACATACTTCTGACCCCTATACCCTGCACATTACTCCTGACCACTATACTGTGTGCATTACATACTCCTGACCCATGTACTCTGCACATTACATACTCCTGACCTCTATACTCTGCACATGACATACTAGCTGACCCCTGTACTCTGTACATTACATACTCCTGGCCTCTATACTCTGCATATTACATACTAGCTTACCTCTATACTCTGTACATTACATACTCCTGACCCATGTACTCTGCACATTACATACTCCTGACCTCTATACTCTGTACATTACATACTTCTGACCCCTATACCCTGCACATTACTCCTGACCACTATACTGTGTGCATTACATACTCCTGACCCATGTACTCTGCACATTACATACTCCTGACCTCTATACTCTGCACATGACATACTAGCTGACCCCTGTACTCTGTACATTACATACTCCTGGCCTCTATACTCTGCATATTACATACTAGCTTACCTCTATACTCTGTACATTACATACTCCTGACCTCTATACTCTGCACATGACATACTAGCTTACCTCTGTACATTACATACTCCTGACCCCTGTACTCTGTACATTACATACTCCTGGCCTCTATACTCTGCACATTACATACGTCTGACCCCTGCATGGTGTACCCGTGTGGTCTGTCTTTGCCTGCCCTCCGTGCTCTGAGCACATGTCTGTTCCATGGCCGTGTTTGCTGCAGCTTAGCGTGACTTCTCTGTCTGCTATGACTGTATTGGTGCTGGGAGTATGTATGTGTCCCCTCCCGGGGTGTGTGTGTGGGGGGGGGGTGGACACACAGGAGGGACATGTGACAATGGGGGGAGGGGAGCATATGAGGAGGATATAACATGTAATGTGCTCGGGAAGGTTTCAGTACTGCTAGGAGGAAGCAGGTGATCCCCCAACCTAGGGGAGGTGAGGGGGGGAGGGGGGGGAGCATTGGGAAGGAGAGCAGGCACGGAGCTGGAACACGAGGAGTGAGGATGGGAAGCTGGAGGCAGGAAATGGTCTTCTCATATGACACTGACATGAGGCTCCTCTATACACATACAGAAATGTTTCCTTTCATTTACAGGGATTTCCTCTCACTTCCTGCTTAGTGATGGGACAGGAAGTGAAGGGAAATCTCCCACAATGACGTCTTGTCATTGTCTTTTATTGGTGGAAGAAGGGAGAGCTCTGACTTCTATGCTGCAGGGAGAGCGCTGACTTCTATGCTGCAGGGAGAGCGCTGACTTCTATGCTGCAGGGAGAGCGCTGACTTCTATGCTGCAGGGAGAGCGCTGACTTCTATGCTGCAGGGAGAGCGCTGACTTCTATGCTGCAGGGAGAGCGCTGACTTCTATGCTGCAGGGAGAGCGCCGACTTCTATGCTGCAGGGAGAGCGCTGACTTCTATGCTGCAGGGAGAGCGCCGACTTCTATGCTGCAGGGAGAGCGCCGACTTCTATGCTGCAGGGAGAGCGCGGACTTCTATGCTGCAGGGAGAGCGCGGACTTCTATGCTGCAGGGAGAGCGCAGACTTCTATGCTGCAGGGAGAGCGCCGACTTCTATGCTGCAGGGAGAGCGCCGACTTCTATGCTGCAGGGAGAGCGCCGACTTCTATGCTGCAGGGAGAGCGCCGACTTCTATGCTGCAGGGAGAGCGCCGGCTTCTATGCTGCAGGGAGAGCGCCGGCTTCTATGCTGCAGGGAGAGCGCCGACTTCTATGCTGCAGGGAGAGCGCCGGCTTCTATGCTGCAGGGAGCGCACCGACTTCTATGCTGCAGGGAGAGTGCCGACCTCTATGCTGCAGGGAGAGCGCGCTGACTTCTATGCTGCAGGGACAGCGCTGATTTCTGTGCTGCAGGGAGAGCGCTAAACTTCTGTGCTGCAGGGAGAGCTCTGACTTCTATGCTGCAGGGAGAGCGCTGACTTCTATGCTGCAGGGAGAGCTCTGACTTCTATGCTGCAGCGACAGCGCTGACTTCTATGCTGCAGGGAGAGCGCTGACTTCTATGCTGCAGGGACAGCGCTGACTTCTATGCTGCAGGGAGAGCTCTGACTTCTATGCTGCAGGGAGAGCGCTGACTTCTATGCTGCGGGGAGAGCGCTGACTTCTGTGCTGCAGGGAGAGCGCTGACTACTATGCTGCAGGGAGAGCGCTAACATCTGTGCTGCAGGGAGAGCGCTGACTTCTATGCTGCGGGGAGAGCGCTGACTTCTGTGCTGCTGCGGGGAGAGAGATGACTTCTATGCTGCGGGGGAGAGTGCCGACTTCTATGCTGCGGGGGAGAGCGCCGACTTCTATGCTGCAGGGAGAGCGCCGACTTCTATGCTGCGGGGGAGAGCGCTGACTTCTATGCTGCAGGGAGAGTGCTGACTTTAATGCAGCAGGGAGAGCGCTGACTTCTATGCTGCAGGGAGAGCGCTGACTTCTATGCTGCAGGGAGAGCGCTGACTTCTATGCTGTGGGGGAGAGCGCCGACTTCTATGCTGCAGGGAGAGCGCCGACTTTAATGCTGCAGGGAGAGCGCTGACTTCTATGCTGCAGGGAGAGCACTGGCTTCTATGCTGCAGGGAGAGCGCCGACTTTAATGCTGCAGGGAGAGCGCAGACTTCTATGCTGCAGGGAGAGCGCCGACTTTAATGCTGCAGGGAGAGCGCTGACTTCTATGCTGCAGGGAGAGCACTGGCTTCTATGCTGCAGGGAGCGCACTGACTTCTATGCTGCAGGGAGAGCGCTGACTTCTATGCTGCAGGGAGAGCGCTGACTTCTATGCTGCAGGGAGAGCGCTGACTTCTATGCTGCAGAGAGAGGGCTGACTTCTATGCTGCAGGGAGAATGCTGACTTCTATGTTGCGGGGAGAGGGGAGGTGGACACTGAATGGAGGCCAGTGGAGGGATTGGCAGAGAAGGGTGAAGGACACTGAATGGAGGCCAGTGGAGGGATTGGCAGAGAGAGATCAAGTAGTAAGAGTATGGAGTAGTGGCCATTGGTTGGGATGAGTATGGAGTAGTGGTCATTGGTTGGGATGAGTACGGAGTAGTGGCCATTGGTTGGGATGAGTACGGAGTAGTGGCCATTGGTTGGGAGGAGTACGGAGTAGTGACCATTGGTTGGGATGAGTACGGAGTAGTGACCAGTGGTTGGGATGAGTACGGAGTAGTGGCCATTGGTTGGGATGAGTACGGAGTAGTGGCCATTGGTTGGGATGAGTACAGAGTAGTGACCATTGGTTGGGATGAGTAACGAGTAATGGTCATTGGTTGGGATTGGTATGGAGTAGTGGCCATTGGTTGGGATGAGTATGTTGTAGTGGTCATTGGTTGGGAGGAGTACGGAGTAGTGGTCATTGGTTGGGATGAGTACGGAGTAGTGGTCATTGGTTGAAATGAGTATGGAGTAGTGGCTGTTGGTTGGGATGGGATGAGTATGGAGTAGTGGCCATTGGTTGGGATGAGTACGGAGTAGTGGCCATTGGTTGGGAGGAGTACGGAGTAGTGTGTCCATTGGTTGGGATGAGTACGGAGTAGTGGCCATTGGTTGGGATAAGTACGGAGTAGTGGCCATTGGTTGGGATGAGTACGGAGTAGTGGCCATTGGTTGGGATAAGTACGGAGTAGTGGCCATTGGTTGGGATAAGTACGGAGTAGTGACCATTGGTTGGGATGAGTACGGAGTAGTGGTCATTGGTTGAAATGAGTATGGAGTAGTGGCTGTTGGTTGGGATGAGTATGGAGTAGTGGCCATTGGTTGGGATGAGTACGGTGTAGTGGCCATTGGTTGGGAGGAGTACGGAGTAGTGTCCATTGGTTGGGATGAGTACGGAGTAGTGGCCATTGGTTGGGATAAGTACGGAGTAGTGGCCATTGGTTGGGATGAGTACGGAGTAGTGGCCATTGGTTGGGATAAGTACGGAGTAGTGGCCATTGGTTGGGATAAGTACGGAATAGTGACCATTGGTTGGGATGAGTACGGAGTAGTGGCCATTGGTTGGGATGAGTACGGAGTAGTGGCCATTGGTTGGGATAAGTACGGAGTAGTGGCCATTGGTTGGGATGAGTACGGAGTAGTGGCCATTGGTTGGGATAAGTACGGAGTAGTGGCCATTGGTTGGGATAAGTACGGAATAGTGACCATTGGTTGGGAGGAGTACGGAGTAGTGGCCATTGGTTGGGATGAGTACGGAGTAGTGACCAATGGTTGGGATGAGTATGGAGTAGTGGCCATTGGTTGGGATAACTACGGAGTAGTGACCATTGGGTGGGGGGAGTACGGAGTAGTGACCATTGGTTGGGTTCAGTATGGATTAGTGGCCATTGGTTGGGATGAGTATGGAGTAGTGGCCATTGGTTGGGGGGAGTACGGAGTAGTGACCATTGGTTGGGTTCAGTATGGATTAGTGGCCATTGGTTGGGATGAGTACGGAGTAGTGGCCATTGGTTGGGATGAGTACAGAGTAGTGGCCATTGGTTGGGGGGAGTACGGAGTAGTGACCATTGGTTGGGTTCAGTATGGAGTAGTGGCCATTGGTTGGGATGAGTAAGGATCAGTGGCCATTGTTTGGGATGAGTATGCAGTAGTGGCCATTGGTTGGGTTCAGTATGGAGTAGTGGCCATTGGTTGGGATGAGTACGGAGTAGTGGCCATTGGTTGGGTTCAGTATGGAGTAGTGGCCATTGGTTGGGATGAGTATGGAGTAGTAGGGCCATTGGCTGGGATGAGTACGGAGTAGTGGCCATTGGTTGGGATGAGTACGGAGTAGTGACCATTGGTTGGGATGAGTACGGAGTAGTGGCCATTGGTTGGGATAAGTACGGAGTAGTGGGGATAGGGGGTGGAGCCTGAACATGGCAGCACAGGAGAGCGGGGAATAGGAACTCTCCGATAGCCTCCCCCACCTACCCTCCCTAAAGTGTCCCGAGGGTCTAACTTGCTGTGTTGGAGGGCTGCTGGAGACCAACCTGGAGAAGGGGGAGATCCCGGCGGTGGTGCGGTGGTCTGTCTGGGAGCGGAGAGTTGAGCCTGCCATCCTCCTGAGGTCTGCCTGCAGTAGTCCCGGAGAGAGTGTGGAGTTGCCGGGCGGCGAGGAGGTGCGGCGTCGACACGTGGGCAGCCGCGGTGGACAGCTGGGAGAGGAAGAAACCGGCCGGCGTCCTAGGAGGCAGGGGAAGCGCTGACAGCGATTGCAAAGCTGTCCCCAGGGATATCTCAGAGCACAAACAGAAGAGGAACAAGAGACCCAAGGGAATCCCCTGGAAGAGGAGGATACGGCTGCAGGAGACAGGGCAATCCAGGACTGCAATTCGGAAGCTGCTCCATAGAGGAGGGTGAGTGAGAGCTGTTGGTCTCCCTATATGATATGATAGCTTTTCAGACTGTGTTATAGGCCACCTGATATCCAGCATAAGAAACAAGAAGGGGGTTCCCAGAAAGGGTCTGAAGGACTGGAAGAAAGAAGTGACAGTTTAAGTATATATCCCAGAGTCTCAAAAAGCATTAAAATCTTATATGTGACATAAAAGGAAAAAATAGTAAAGGAAGTACGTCCAAGAACTCCCAAACTGGAACGATAAAAAAATACACGTCGCAGGGGAAATTGACCCCAGTAAAATCCCAGGAAATAAGTGATAGGAGTGAACTGGAAATAACCTTAGATAATAGTCTAAGATCTTCCCTGGGATCAGTTAACAACAGCCAACAAACACTGGAAGGTATGGAGATGGGAGAAACTGAAAAAGAACTGCAAATACCAAATAAAAAGGAAATGGCGGAGATGTTTAAAAACTTGGAAAAATCCATAAAGCAAGAGATGGGGATAATTCGGAAAGAAATGGGACAGTTGTTAACTAGAGTGGAAGAAACGGAGGAAACAGTTAAATACCACACCAAAATATCCCAAAACTAGAGAAATTGATAATAGATACTCGGAAGGAACAAAAAAGATTGCTTTATATGATGGAGGATCAAGAAAATAGGGACAGGAGAAATAATATTAGAATAAGAGGAGTCCCATGGCTGCTACAGGAGGAAGAATTAAAGGAGACCACAGGAAACATTTTGAACTCCATAATGGATAGATCTGGTGCGGAGATGTTTAAATTGGATGGAGTGTACAGGATAGGAAAGATCCAACAAGAAAAAGGCCCAGAAAAATCAAGAGATATAATCGTTCAATTCCATAATTATAGAGATAAAGATGAGATATGGAAGAAGATCAAAGGAAGAACAAATATCAAATATGGAGGGAAAAATATTCAAATCTTTGCAGACATAGCAGCCGAGACATTGAGAAGAAAGAGGTCATTGAAACCATTATTGGAATTGTTGAAGAAACAGAATGTGCAATATACATGGGGTCGTTCAGCATGTTTAATCGGTTGGAGAGATGGAGTCACAGCATTTTTGAGATCCCCTGAAAATATGAAAGACTTCTGTAATAAATTTGAACTGCAAAGAATAGAGATCCCGGGATGGGAAGAGGAGGAGGGAGAGTCATATATGTTGGGAAAAGAGGAATGGCAGCTAGTTAGAAGAGAAAATAGAGAGCATATAGATAGAGGGACACTGGGGAGGAGGGGGGGAAGGTGAGCGGTGCATGGATGGAGCTGAGCCCCCAGGTCGGAATCAAAAGTGGGACTCTTTCCACAAATGATTCATAGGCAAACAAAAAGCCTAACAGGGGAGAGAGGGGTGGGGGGGAGGGGGGTCTGTGGAGGGGTGGGGCCCTCGGGGGATGGGCGGGCGGGTGGGGGGCCTGGACGGGGGGGAGGAGGGAGGGGAGGGGGGGAGAGGGGGGTGGATGGGAGGGAGAGAATTGGGGTGGGAGCGGGGAAAGGGGGTTTTAAAACTGACATCTTGTAGGAGAGAAAAGGTATAAGGAAGGGGAAGAAGAAAGGAAATGGTAAAAAATAGGAAGAAGACAAATAAAATATGGAGGAAATACGGTTTGTAACCCACAATGTAAATGGATTAAATTGCCCGGGTAAAAGATTTAGACTATATAGAGAATTACAACATAGAGAGGCCTCAGTTGTTTTATTTCAGGAAACACATCTAGAGTTAAAAAAAAATATTAAGTTGAACACTAGACAACACCCGACATGGTATTATGCAGATTCCCCAGTTAAGAGAGCGAAGGGTGTGGCTATAGGATTCGCAAAAAACGTTAGGTTTGAATTGGAAGATAGAAAGACGGACCCGGAGGGGAGGTTTCTGTTCTTGAAAGGTAAACTACAAGACATAGAATGTACGTTCGCAAACATATATTGCCCCAATAGGAAGCTGGAGATGTTTTTGAAAGGGGTCATGAGAAGATTGATGGACTTTGGAAAGGGATATCTAATAGTGGCGGGAGACTTTAACATATGTATGGATCCACAAATAGATACAACATCTGTAGTGCAGAGAGGGGAAAACAGGTCCATGGGATTACTGAAAAGGGCGATAAAAGAGTGCCAACTGGTGGATAGCTGGAGAATTGTCAACACGAGAGATAGAGACTACACTTTTTTCTCTAGTGTACATAGGACATACTCTAGATTGGACTATATATTGGTGGACCATCGACTCGTTGAGGATTTGGTTAGGGTAAAAATAGAAGCAATAACTTTCTCGGACCATGCACCTGTAGTAATGCAATTAAGATGGGGAGGAAAGTTGTCAGGAGGCATGTCATGGAGGTTGAATGAGGCACTCCTCATGGACCAAGATACCGACCGGAAGATCAGGAAGGAGATAGAGAGGTTCTTTGAGGAAAATGAAACGGGAGATGTATCACTAGCTACATAAAGTATATATAAGAGGAATCCTTATTGCGATTGGGGCAAAGAAAAAAAGGGAAAGGCGAGAGAAGATTAGTGGGCTTCTGAAGGAAATAGCTGAGATGGAACTCCTACATAAAAATAACATAAGGAAAGAGATAGAGCAAAGAGTGATAAAAAAGAGGGAAGAACTAGAGAAACTAATGGAAGAAGAAAAAATGAGAACTTTTAATAAGATCATTGGGGAAAGATATAGATGGGGAGATTGATCGGGAAAATATCTGATGAGAACCCTGAGGAGAAAGAAGAATAGGAACTACATAGATAAAATAAAAAACTCCAAGGGAGAGTTAGTCCATTCAACCAAAGATATTGCAAAGGGTATTTAAGGACTACTATAGTAAATTATATAATATTGCCCACAAGGATGATATAAATAAGGATAAAATGGTAAATACTGAAAAAAGAAGGGAATATTTAAGAAATGCAGGATTACCAAAATTAAGTGAAGAACTATTAAACTCCTTAGAATCTGAAATTACACAGGAAGAATTAAAAATAGCACTAAAAGCTTTATGATGGGAAAAAACCCCGGCCCAGGCGGGTACACCGTGTGGTATTATAAAAAAATACAGTGACTTACTGCTACCCAAGTTAAAGATATATATGGACTCACTGGGGGGAGAGATGGAGATGAGGCAGGAATCCCTACTGGCACAGGTGGTTCTAATACATAAGGAAGGTAAAGACATCACCCAGTGCTCAAGTTATAGATCGATATCATTATTGAACATAGACACGAAGCTGTACGCAAAGGTATTGGCGAATAGGTTAAAAGATCTGATGCCAGATTGGATACATGGAGATCAGGTGGGCTTTGTTAGAGGAAGAGAGGGGCGAGACAATGGGTTGAGATCCCTGCTGTTAATACAGAAAAGTAAAACGGAAAAAAAATCCAGTGGTGCTGCTCTCGATAGATGCGGAGAAGGCGTTTGACAGGGTCAACTGGAATTTTATGATGGATACACTAGAGGCCCTGGGATTGGGTACTAGGATGAGAAAGTGGATTGGAAGGTTGTATGAAGGACCGGCTGCGATGGTAATGGTAAATGGAGAGAGATCAGAGACTTTTTCGATGTCAAACGGAACCAGCTGCCCACTTTCCCCACTGTTGTTTGTCCTATCCCTGGAACCCCTGCTATCAACAATTAGGAAAAACATAGATATAAGGGGAATCAATGTAGGAAAGACAGAACATAAGATAGCAGCGAATGACCTATTGTTCTATGTTGGAAACCCGAGGATAACACTCCCTAACCTAATGAAAGCACTGAAGGAATATGGGGAAATGTCAAATCTAAAAATTAAGCAAAACAGAGATATTAAATATAAATCTTCCAAAGAGTGAAAAAGAAAAAATACAGAGAGAATTTCCCTTTATATGGAAAGATAGAGAAATAAAGTACCTGGGAGTAAAACTCACTCCTTCACAGAAAAACCTTTATAAAACTAACTATTTCCCATTGTTAAACGAGATTAGGGAGGAATTGAAGAAAATTGGTAGTGGAAATCCTTCCTGGCTGGGTCATATTAACCTGAAAAAAATGGTAATTGTCCCTAAGATACTGTATAAATTCCAGATGATTCCCATTAATCTTCCAGAGGTGTATTTTAGAACAATTAAGCGAATGGTAACAAAATATATATGGAAAAATAAAAAACCTAGGATATCATATGAAGTGCTAAGTAGAAATAAAGAAAAAGGGGGGTTGGGGGTACCGGATTTTAAAAGATACCACAGAGCAGTTATTTTAGCAAGAATTTTTGATTGGACGCACATCTCAAAGAGCAAACATTGGGTCACAATAGAAAATACACTTAGTAGAAAGGATTTCAGTAGGAGTGTTTGGGTGCCAGCACAGTTTAGAGAATTAGGGGAGACCATGAGTATATACACGAGGATTGTAACGGGGGAGTGGGATAAAATGCACAGACAGAGGAAATGGGATTTTAATTCATTGTTAATGCCACTAAGAAACTCAGAGTTCTTTCCCCCAGGTAAAGAGGAAATCGCAGGCAGATGGATTAAAAAGGAAGACGTCCAGTTGAGAGATGTAATGGAGGGGGTAAATCTAAGAACATTGGAGGATTTGAAAAGGGAAGAGGAAAGATTTTCACTAAGATAGATATATGGAGATATAATCAACTGAAACAATTTGTAGAGAAACTGACGAAGCCCCTTAGAACTAGGAAAGACTGGAATGTATTTGAGAAATACTTAGAAGCTCGAGGAGATGGGAAACACAGCACTGCCAAAGCATACAAAGCACTCATGGATTTAGATAGTAAGTCAAAACTAAAGTACATAGGAAAATGGGAAAGGGACTTAGGAGTGGGAAGAGCACACACAGAGAAAAATTTATAAAAGGGTACACGAAAATATAAGCATGCGTGAGGTGGAAATGAATTTCAAATGTTTGACAAGGTGGTATGTTACACCGATGATTGAGCACAAGATGAGTGGGGAAAAACAACCTTGGTGTTGGCGAGGATGCGGAGGGTTGGGCACAATCTACCACATATGGTGGGAATGTTTAAAAATACAAGTATACTGGAAAAAAAGTTATAAATCAAATTAGGATCATTACTGGAACAGAGATCGGACTGGACCCTGAAACTTGTCTTTTTCATAACTCAATAATATCTGAGAATAAATATAAAGAACTGGGTATAGGGAGTTACCTAAATGCAGCAAAAAGTTTGATCCCTAGGTTTTGAGGCACCGAGAGAAGAGGATTGGATAAATAGAGTCGACCAGATCGCGAGATTGGAAAAACTTTATTATATACAGGAAGATAGGACGGTAGCATACTATATGAAATGGGAGAAATGGGAGGAGTTTAAGGTAAAGGTAAAAGAAGGTACTGAATAAGTAAGAGTAAAGAAAGGGGAAAGATAGAACGAGAAAAGAGAAAGGGGAAAGGAAAAGAAAAAGGAGAAAATATAGTAATTTGTCTTTCTTTTCTTTCTTTCTTTCTTTCAATTCTTTGCATCTAGAAGAAGTGAGATATAAGTCGATCAGATAGATGTCATGGGTTTAAAGCAGTGGAAGGGGGTGGAGGGTGAGTTGAAAGGAAGGGTATTAGGGGGAGAAAAAGATACGAAAAAAGGGTTTTATGAGATTTTGGTATGTTGTATTTTCCACTGTGAAATTTTGTATTTTGTATCGGTTTATTTGAAAATGAATAAATATTTAAATTGAAAAAAAAAAAGTACGGAGTAGTGACCATTGGTTGGAATGAGTACGGAGTAGTGACCATTGGTTGGGATGAGTACGGAGTAGTGACCATTGGTTGGGATGAGTACGGAGTAGTGACCATTGGTTGGGAGGAGTACGGAGTAGTGGCCATTGGTTGGGATGAGTACGGAGTGGTGGCCATTGGGTGGAATGAGTACGGAGTAGTGGCCATTGGTTGGGATAAGTACGGCGTAGTGACCATTGGTTGGGATGAGTATGGAGTAGTGGCCATTGGTTGGGATGAGTACGGTGTAGTGACCATTGGTTGGGTTCAGTACGGATTAGTGGCCATTGGTTGGGATGAGTACGGAGTAGTGACCATTGGTTGGGATGAGTACGGAGTAGTGGGCCATTGGTTGGTGGGAGTACGGAGTAGTGACCATTGGTTGGGTTCAATATGGAGTAGTGGCCATTGATTGGGATGAGTATGGAGTAGTGACCATTGGTTGAGATGAGTACGGAGTAGTGACCATTGTTTGGGATGAGTATGGAGTAGTGACCATTGGTTGGGATGAGTATGGAGTAGTGGCCATTGGTTGGGATGAGTACGGAGTAGTGACCATTGTTTGGGATGAGAACGGAGTAGTGGCCATTGGTTGGGATGAGTACGGAGTAGTGTGACCATTGGTTGGGATGAGTACGGAGTAGTGACCATTGGTTGGGTTCAGTATGGATTAGTGGCCATTGGTTGGGATGAGTACGGAATAGTGGCCATTGGTTGGGATGAGTATGGAGTAGTGGCCATTGGTTGGGTTCAGTATGGATTAGTGGCCATTGGTTGGGATGAGTACGGAGTAGTGGCCATTGGTTGGGTTCAGTATGGAGTAGTGGCCATTGGTTGGGATGAGTACGGAGTAGTGGCCATTGGTTGGGATGAGTACGGAGTAGTGACCATTGGTTGGGTTCAGTATGGAGTAGTGGCCATTGGTTGGGTTCAGTATGGAGTAGTGGCCATTGGTTGGGTTCAGTATGGAGTAGTGGCCATTGGTTGGGTTCAGTATGGAGTAGTGGCCATTGGTTTCAACAGTTAGTAGAAATGAAAAGACTAAATCGTAGGATTCTGATTTCATCGTCTTCTCTGCCAGGTTATGTCCACCAAATACGAGGACTTAGAGGGACTCCATGGGGACGGGACAACCAATGATGGAGGCGGAGCCAACAGCTGGATTCCAAAAGGTACAGATCATGGTGGAGATAGCCAATCCGATGAGGAGAATTACAGGACAAGGGAGGGGGGACTGAGCAGTGAGGGTGGGTGTAGGTGGGGGAGGAGTGATCTCAGTCCTCAGTGAGTCATGTGATATCAGTCCTCGGTGAGTCATGTGAGCTTGGTTTTTGGCAATCTTAATTGTTCTCTTTGTCCTCCTCAGGACTCCTCGTGAAGAAATGGATCCCTCATCCCCTCTCCAGACTGAACTGCTCCCCGCTGACCCTCTTATGTGGACTCCTCTTCACCATCCTCTTCCTCACCATCATCATCACACGTGAGTCCCCCTCCCCCGCTGACCCTCCTATGTGGGCTCCTCTTCACCATCCTCTTCCTCACCATCATCATCACACGTGAGTCCCCCTCCCCCGCTGACCCTCCTATGTGGACTCCTCCTCTTCACCATCCTCTTCCTCACCATCATCATCACACGTGAGTCCCCCTCCCCCGCTGACCCTCTTATGTGGACTCCTCTTCACCATCCTCTTCCTCACCATCATCATCACACGTGAGTCCCCCTCCCCTGATGATCCTCTATGTGGACTCCTCTTTACCATCATCTTCCTCACCATCATCATCACATGAGTCCCCCTCCCCCGCTGACCCCCTATGTGTACTCCTCTTCACCATCCTCTTCCTCACCATCATCATCACACGTGAGTCCCCCTCCCCCCCGCTGACCCTCCTATGTGGACTCCTCTTCACCATCCTCTTCCTCACCATCATCACCACACATGAGTCCCTCTCCCCCGCTGACCCTCTTATGTGGACTCCTCTTCACCATCCTCTTCCTCAACATCATCATCACACGAGTCCCCCTCCCCCGCTGACCCTCTTATGTGGACTCCTCTTCACTATCCTCTTCACCATCCTCTTCCTCACCATCATCATCACACATGAGTCCCCCTCCCCTGCTGACCCTCTTATGTGGACTCCTCTTCAACATCCTCTTCACCATCCTCTTCACCATCCTCTTCCTCACCATCATCATCACACGTGAGTCCCCCTCCCCCCGCTGACCCCCTATGTGGACTCCTCTTCACTATCCTCTTCACCATCCTCTTCCTCACCATCATCATCACACATGAGTCCCCCTCCCCTGCTGACCCTCTTATGTGGACTCCTCTTCAACATCCTCTTCACCATCCTCTTCACCATCCTCTTCCTCACCATCATCATCACACGTGAGTCCCCCTCCCCCCGCTGACCCCCTATGTGGACTCCTCTTCTCCATCCTCTTCCTCTCCATTTCCAGATGCAAAAACTTTTCATTTTATGGGTGGTGCCTGTTCTGGTCGGGGTGGAGGGGGTGGTGCCTTTCATTTTTACATTGCTTTATTTTTTTTTTTTAAACTTTATTGAGATGTCTCAAACTGACATTTTGTTGTTTTCAATGCAGCACACACCCAAACCCCACCCCTAATTATAGGAGACCGCCCAGCCTCATGAATTTGCATATTTAATCCCAATTGCCGTATTGAATGCCGTACTGAGTTGCCGCACAGTCACAGTCACTGACGTAGGGGTGGCGTTATGACCCCGGGACGTGTCCCAGGACCAGGGGTGGACTGACCATTTGGAAACTCGGGCACTGCCCGAGGGTCCGGAGTCAGTAGGAGGCCCTATGAGATGCCCCTGGTACCTTTTTCATAGGCTTTTTTGAGTTTGGGCAAGGACACAGGGGCCCATGATCCCCTATTGCCCGGGGGGCCCCATGAGTTGTCAGTCCGCCCCTGCCCAGGACACAGCATCATCGGGACTGAGGTCCAAGACGTGGGGCTGTTGTGGCCAGGCTGGAACTGTTGGCATGTATGTCATTGGCGAGGAGAATACTTACCCAACCTTGGCCTCTGTTCCGGTGAATGCCGACTCGGCACCAAGCGGGCAGGTTCAATGGTTTACTGGTGAAGGGGTCCATCGGAAGGCTTGCTGGATAACTTCTCCATTTCACAGGGATCCGCACGTCCACAATACTGACTTCCATTAAGTAAGGGGCCACTTGGTGTTCCCTATGTATGATAAGGCAGCAGGTGGCACCATGGGTGGGCTCTGGCATTCTATAAATTACACGGAACCCCACTGACCCACCCAACCCCCCGACTGAAGATCAGTGAAGGGGAGGACACAGCACAGGAGGTGGGTACGAAAGGGGTTTCACCCAACCCCCTGACTGAAGATGAGTGAAGGGGAAGACACAGCACAGGAGGTAGGTACGAAAGGGGTTTCACCCAACCCCCCTACTGAAGATCAGTGAAGGGGAGGAGACAGCACAGGAGGTGGGTACAAAAGGGGTTTCTCCCAACCCCCCTACTGAAGATCAGTGAAGGGGAGGAGACAGCACAGGAGGTGGGTACAAAAGGGGTTTCACCCAACCCCCCGACTGAAGATCAGTGAAGGGGAGGAGACAGCACAGGAGGTGGGTACAAAAGGGGTTTCACCCAACCCCCGACTGAAGATCAGTGAAGGGGAGGACACAGCACAGGAGGTAGGTACGAAAGGGGTTTCACCCAACCCCCCGACTGAAGATCAGTGAAGGGGAGGACAGAGCACAGGGGGTGGGTACAAAAGGGGTTTCACCCAACCCCCGACTGAAGATCAGTGAAGGGGAGGACAGAGCACAGGAGGTAGGTACGAAAGGGATTTCACCCAACCCCCCAACTGAAGATCATTGAAGGGGAGGACAGAGCACAGGAGGTGGGTACGAAAGGGATTTCACCCAACCCCCCAACTGAAGATCATTGAAGGGGAGGACAGAGCACAGGAGGTGGGTACGAAAGGGATTTCACCCAACCCCCCAACTGAAGATCATTGAAGGGGAGGACAGAGCACAGGAGGTGGGTACGAAAGGGGTTTCACCACACCCCCGACTGAAGATGAGTGAAGGGGAGGACACAGCACAGGAGGTAGGTACGAAAGAGGTTTCACCACACCCCCGACTGAAGATCATTGAAGGGGAGGACAGAGCACAGGAGGTGGGTATGAAAGGGGTTTCACCCAACCCCCCCGACTGAAGATGAGTGAAGGGGAGGACACAGCACAGGAGGTAGGTACGAAAGGGGTTTCACCCAACCCCCCGACTGAAGATCATTGAAGGGGAGGACAGAGCACAGGAGGTGGGTATGAAAGGGGTTTCGGGTCATTAAAATTCGGTTTTCTCTCTGCAGATGCCAGGGTGACGACGGACGTGGCGCAGGTGAAGGCCTCCGTCAACCGAATCTTGTCGGATGAAACAATAGGTAACTTCAAACTCCCCTAAGGGGCGTGGCATCTTCATTATACAAACCCAACCATCCCTAATCCATCTGCATCATTCCAATTGTGAGACCCAGAAAAAGGGGTGGGAATTACCTGTAAATGGGTGTGGTTTGGTGAAATGTAGGTGTGTCTGGCCACTGCTGGGTGGTATCAGATTTTTATTGGGAGCCAGGCCTAGTGGTCTGTGACTGGAAATGTCCGAGATCATCCAATACAGCAAAAATACCGAAACCAACTAAGTAAGCTAAGTATAAACAGATGGAATGGGTGGGACTAAAGAGGTGCCACCAGTATCAGAGCCACGGTCATGCACTGAAGATCAAGCTGAAGGAACAGGGACACGGTACATGGGAACAGGTCCAAGCAGGCGGGCAAGGATCGGGATCCAGAGTAACAGGTCACGAGGCACACGGGTCAAGGTCACACGGGCAGAACACCAAGGCAAAATGGAGGAGCAGAGGAGGGACTAAATACTCTTCCAGCAGCCAGCATCAGGTGATGACTAATTGCTAGGAACCGCTGGCTGCTGAGACACTGGAACTGCAGCCTACAAGTCTGGGAGCCACAGTGCCACCAGCTGGTGATCCAATTCCTGACACCTACAGAAATCTTTTCCTCAACCCTGTATACAGAATTACCAAAGAACACTGAAAGGTTGGGGGCTTCTTCTTCAGAGAGTCCTGAGATCTTCCATCTTGAACATCAGGATGTGTTTGGAAAATTCTGAAACTACTTGTACACATATCGGGGGGGGGGGGGGAGGGGGATACTCTTAGGCAACGTGAATTTTACTTCCTATATTTTATTATCAGGCATGCAGGGTTTTTTTTTTTTATAAAAAGAGCTCTGGATGAAAAATATGGCAAAGGGGGAACTGTGTGTGACTGTTGAAGTGGCCTGTTATGGTCAGGACCTTCTGGAGCCAGATACCGGTAGTAAAGACTTGTACTGGGCATATTATAGTAGGCCTGGTATTGTCAGGAATTTCAGGATTTAGATGCTGGTGGTGCAGGGGGCCTGTTATAGTCAGGGTCTTCTGGAGCCAGACACTGGCGATGAAGACTTGTGGTGAATTTGTTGCTGGGGGGGTCTGTTTTGGTCATGGCTTTCTGGACCTAGATGCTGGTGGTAAATACTTGTATTGGACATGTTGCAGGGGGTCTCTTAAGGTCATGGCTTTCTGGATTAGACACTGGTGATGAAGACTTGTGGTGGACATGTTGCAGGGGGGTTATTATGGTCAGGGCTTTCTGGATCTAGATGCTGGTGGTAAATACTTGTATTGGACATGTTGCAGGGGGTCTCTTAAGGTCATGGCTTTCTGGATTAGACACTGGTGATGAAGACTTGTGGTGGACATGTTGCAGGGGGGTTATTATGGTCAGGGCTTTCTGGATCTAGATGCTGGTGGTAAATACTTGTATTGGACATGTTGCAGGGGGTCTCTTAAGGTCATGGCTTTCTGGATTAGACACTGGTGATGAAGACTTGTGGTGGACATGTTGCAGGGGGGTTATTATGGTCAGGGCTTTCTGGATGTAGATGCTGGTGGTAAAGACTTGTGTTGGACTTGTTGCAGTGCAGGGGGCCTGTTATGGCCAGGGTCTTCTGGAGCCAGACACATTTTATGAAGACTTCTGTTGGATGTTCTGAATGGGCCTGTTATGGTCAGGGCCTTCTGGAGCCAGATACTGGTGGTAAAGATTTCTGGTTAACTTGTTGCTGGGGGTCTTTTATGGTCAGGGCTTTCCAGATCCAGATGCTAGTGCTAAA